AACTCATAAAAAGCCTTACAAGATTTAAAACCCAAGTGGGGTTGAAGATCCGTGAACTGGTTGTAATCGACCTGTTAAAGCTTATTTGATTAATCCTTCTCCTAAAGATAATGCTTTTGGAGTTCCTCAAATTCTTATAGGGCTTGAGAAGAGTTTAACTTTATTTGTGATGACTGATCATCTTTTCCTGGATTCAAAAGTTAAGTTATTCTTTATCCCCTCTGAAACCCACTTTAGAATGACATAAGAAAATAAAATTATTCCCAGGCTTAAGTGCCATGGATGAGGGCCTGTAACACTGGCTTTAGAAGGCTACCCCCAAGAGAATGAGCACTGTGCATGTGTATATTATTGATGTGCAGATTAAACAACTTTTTAGCTTAGCCAGTGAGTACTTTGGGGTGCATGGGCTGTTCAATCTCATGAAAGAGCTAGAGAATTGGATTTGAAGAGACTTTTTGTAGTAAAAAGGAACTACATCCTATTGCTATCTGTATGTGGGAGGTAAATGATTTGATATTGAGTTTTTTCTTGACAACATCAGTATGCCTTTTTCCATATTTGAGAAATCTGAAGATTTGGGAAATGACCTGAGGGAAGAGGTAGGACCTGGGTTTATAGCTGGAAGTCAGTTAAAGAGTTGATGGCATTGGAAAATAGAGCAAGAAATCTATCTATATTAAGGTTTGTTTTCAAAATCAGAAGAGTCAATAAGGGGAGACAGTAGTTCCACTAAACAGAAAATACAGTTCCACCCACCCCTGGCTGGAATTGTACCATTGCTAGTTGTTCATGGTTTTAATCAGGCATTCAAATCACATATTTGTTTAAAGAGGTCATCAATATCTAGAAAGATACCTTGAACTTTCTCACACATCAAGTTTCAAATAAATAAGTGGATATAGGATTAGAGATTGAACATAAACCGTCTCCTAAAGAAGATTTATCTTCCACATTTTATGGAGAAGGCAGAAGTTGGCAAGTCCAGAAGCTTTGTCTGAGTGAAGGAAGGCTGCCCATATGTGGCTATTCCTGGTTAGATGTAAGGGGTGGGTTGTGGGGAGGAATAACTTTTTCTATACAGTAGGAAGAAATACGAACTTTTGCAGAGACACCCAATTTGCTAGTGAATGGGAACTTTGAGAGTCCAATATTAAACAAATAAGCAGTCTTTGTGTACAAGTGGAAAAAAACAGGAAAGCAATAGTTGCTTTAATTAGAATTCATAGATGCAGAGCTCTGGAAACAAACTGGCATACTTAGAAATGAATTAGAGTTCATGTGGGAAAATATCATGTTACTGTCTCTCCATGACCATAGTGTGTGGAAATTGCATGTAAAAAGGTATTGTATGTTCTTCAGCCTCTGCTGAGCAGGATCAAAGGAAATAAATGAATAGCTTAGAGTATGAGGCAGAACAGCCACTAAAATTTAAAAAGTCTTAACTAAGAGAACATATTTTGACTAGTTTTAAAGAAGGTTTTAAATTTTATAGTGGAAAAATTGCCAGGTAGTTTCAGATGAATATGCAAGCATACTGTCAAAGCACTTAGGAATTTTACATTTTAAGCACGGTAACACAAAGTAATTTGGTTAAAATTATTAGCTGTTGTTATTTAAAAATAGCCCATTTAAAATTCTGATCCCAGGATGCTTGGGAAATACTTAAATTCTTGTAGATTATTTGGTATGTGTAGATAATTGTATGTAACTTTTAACTACAAGTACAATTTAGCTAGGTTTGTTTAAATACAACCATGATTACTTCAATACAGGTACTCATTGCTTAAAGTTGTCCTGGTTTCATTATTACATTGCTGATCTATTAAAGAACATACCTGTTTAAAATTGTGCAGTGTTAGGTTATAATGTTGTTTTGCCACCACCTGCTAGTAGGTAACTACTGTGACATAATTGGATTCGCTTAAAATCATTTAACTTAAAGTTGCATTTTTCAAGAATGTAACTATGACATGATGTGAGGAATAGCTGTATGTGCATGTATTTTGAGCATTATAAGAAAAGGCAAATCATTTTATCCATTGCAGTTGATTATATATTGTTTTAAAAGAAACTCCCTAGGTGTTGTATTCTTTATACATTATATTATGATATATTTTATCTACTGGTTATATACCTGTCAGTTCTGAATGTTTTGTAAACCCAGGAATCTGCTGAGGTTGATCCCCAATTTAGTGGTACATATGAAAATAATGTGTAATACCCTTCCTATTATGATAAAATAAAAGGTTAAGAGGAAGTTGTGAAAATGAAATAACGCATGACCTGGATTTTCAGTTAATCCAGCCCTCTTGGAACATATACATGCAGGCACAAGAATCTCCGATCTCTTGGGAGCATTTTGAGTAATGATGTGAAATATGTTGCGCTCCTGATGTATGGGAGAGGTTAGAGGAAAATAGATGCACGTGCTTGAGGAACTCCATGATAACACTGAAACCAGTTATTTCTAGTAATTCTTCCTGGTGCTTCTTAATTATCTTGGGTGGTAGGGCTCCTCTTCCTGAAGATAGCTCTGCCCACACATCCATTTGCTATGAAGTGTCCTTGGGACTTGGGCTTTTCCTGGTTGACAGCTTACCCTTAACAGAAGGGTGGTCCTGAAGTTCATATTAAAAGTCAGTAGGGTCCAGATGCCACTCCACCAATCTGGTGCTTTAACAGACATAGGCACTTAAGTTCTCTTTCGTTCAAGTCCCTGAAAACCCATTAGTACATTTAACGTGCTGTCACCTTAGCCTTAAAATTAAATTGTGCAAAAGCAGCAAGGGGAGGGCACCCACACTTATTGTATCAACAGTTTTTTAGGGAGTCAAACAGATCACACTTAAGGTGTGAATAGGCAGGAATCTTTCTGGGATAGGCAGCAGTACAGGCATTCAGTCTGTAGCCATCTCCTCTCCCCTACTCTCCATTCCTTTCCCAGACCTAGATCATCACAGTTTGGGAAAAACATGGGGAACTGTGGCTGCTAATTTCCTCCTGGTCCTGGTGGGGAGTGGAGCAGTGAGGAAAGACCCTCTGTGCTTACCCCAGACTAGGAACCAGCAGGTGGCTGCTTTGCTTTGCTCCTGGTCTTTGGGAGTAGAGTGGAGAGAGTGGTAGGGCAAAGCCCCCACCACCTATTCCCCAGACCAGGCTGTGTCTGGCCTGGGGAAGAGGCAGGTAGCAGCAGTGGTATCTCAATGAACCAGCAGTGCGTGCTTTATTTCACTCCTCTCCCAGACTAGATTAGGTAGGGAGTGAGCAGTGTACAGACTTTGATTCTTGTGAGAGAAATTCCATCACAGGAGAGGTCTTCTTTGTGTCAACTTGGAAGATCATAGAGAGGGCATGTTTCCTCTGGGAGAAGTTGAATGAACACTTGTCTGTTCCTAGTTTCTATTGGGAGAGAGGCAGTTCTCCTGGTAAAAATGTAATGCCTATATATAGGCAGACTAGGTTCCTTGGGTGAATTTGATATCTTTTATTAGACCAACCCAAATAGTAATAATTATTAAACAAGCTTTCGAGTTCAAAAGCCCTTCGTTAGGCTAAGGAAGTTTCAGCAGTTGGTGTGTGCTCTTCCTGGCTGCTGAAACTTCCTTAGCCTGACGAAGGGTTTTTGAACCCAAACGCTTGCTTAATAACTTTTCTCCAACTATTTGGGTTGGTCTAATAAAAGATATCAAATTCACCCAAGGAACCTTGTCTGCCTATGTCCTTAGACCAACATGGCTACAACCTAAATGCCTATATATAGCCCTAGGTACCAAAATTGCTCAATTGCCTAACAAGTGGAGTAAGATCTGCCCTAACACTTTTTCCTCCCTCTCTTCATTCTGTGGTGGCTCAGTTTTTCATATCCATTCACTCTACCACCCCAAATGATGCTAGTCTGCTACACTAGGATGAAAGTGATTCGTTTCCCCAACAGTTGCCCACTTCAGACCTTTAATTTCCACTTACAATAAAAATATAGTGTTATTATTCTATGTAAACACTGATGACAGAAACTAACTTGTTCTTCTATGTCAGAACTTTTC